TCTGCCACTTTCTTGTCACCATCCCATTGGAAACGAGCTACCCAACAGTAAATCGAGATTCCTGTTTGGACCGACAAAAGAAGGTCAAGCAAATCAGCATTTTTGAACACAGCCGCTATTATCAATCTTGGTTGTATGGTGCATACACAGGGTTTTATATCTCATACTTGAATAACAATATGGCCATTTATGTGCAGATTAAACTTATTATCTGAAAATGAACTTTTGAAGTTAATTAACAATCTCTACTTAAATAGGCCATCTGAAATTCGACCTTAGTAACCTATCTTCTAAACCTAGATCTCTCACCTTGACACCAATGTCTACCTTCTTTTTAACTCAAAATGCTTTTAGAAAATGAAACTCATAATAGTAATTCTTTAGTTTATCTTTTTATTCTGTTATGTACTTATTAGAAAGCGTCTTAAAATAAAATGTCTCATTTGGTTTCTGGACTTTTATTTGAGTAATACACTATAGATTACGTTAGGTTTACAATAAGTAGCCCATTTTAGTAGCAGTACTTATATAGAAGTTAAGTATTTTATCGTCCCTCGACTGCAAAATGAAAATTGTAGATTAATCGTAAACATTATTCTTTGTAAAAAATCACAGACACTTACTATAGGATGATAGATCAATCTCATTAGGCAACTCAGTGATGTTGACATCAAATCTGTCTTGCACTTCGTTCAAAATTTTTGCATCAGCCTCATCCGAGACAAAGGTTATAGCCAAACCTTTGGTACCAAAACGACCAGCACGAGCCACACGATGAAGATAAGTGTCCGAATCTTCAGGCATATCATAATTAAATACAATATTCACACGTTCGATATCCATACCACGACCAAAAAGATTGGTGGCTACCAATATGCGTTTTTGGAAATCCTTGAATTGTTGATAGCGATTTAAACGTTCCTCTTGTGTCATTCCACGATGTATGCCAATTCCGGGGAAATTTTGTTCGGTTAGTAACTGAGCTAGAGCCATGCACCGTTGTACTGATTTTACGAAAATTACAACCTGTTTTTCATTTAATGATATAAATAGAATTACATTAAAACTCATTTAATTCAAATAGGTGCTTACTTGATTGAATTCGAGTACATCCAACAATTCAAACAATTTCTTGTTTTTCTCGTTCTCCTTCAGTTTAACATAGTGCTGTTGTAATCCGTGCAATGTCAATTTAGCTTCGTCATCCACATAAACTTCCATGGGCTGCAAAATAAAATTAAATAAAGAATATTTAAACTTACAATTTATGAAAACCAGCATAATTAGGAATCATCCTGCCGCTGAATCTTCAAAGGGCAGACGGGCGCCTTTAGCTCATTCACTGGCGTCCAATATTAAACTTAGCAAATTTAGAAACATTTATATGCTATAATTACATACGGCCACACAACCACCACATCTCATTAGTTTCGAAACAGGCTACTGGTACACACAACATTGAAGTGATCCCCAATGGAATGTTTAGACTTATTTCCATTTAGTGCTTGGCTGACAGATGTATCCCCAAATAAGGCATTTCCTTTTCCATTTTGTAAATGATCGATTAAGTGAATAATGTTTTCCCCATGTTGAAACATGTATCAAATCAAGTCGCAAATTGTTGGTTGTAATAGCATAAAGCTATCCCCATGAAATTTTGGGGAATACTGCTGCAGTCGCAATGATCCACGTCGCTTTGCAAAGAATTAATAGAAGTCAACTTCATTTTACATTACGCACCAAGTGACGCATTGCTATAATTATGGCTTCTAAAAACCGTTTTGGTATAGTCTCATTTATAATGGATTTGATATTTTCTGGTTAAGATATATTTCTATTCTGTTATACTTTATGCTTTTTGTTATTAGTTTTAACATTTGTGACATTGTTTTTTTAATGGTGTTGTGGTGTTTATGTTGTGGCAGTTCAGCAATTGGGATAAAGCTTAGTGGTATAACTAGTAGTAGTAGAACAAGTAGAAGAATGGACACGTAGATATTTACATCTTGCATAAATTTTTTGCACACCGGACGTATTTCCTTGCTCAACGTAGCGGAAAACATCATTACTTGTTTTCCATGTGGAGTGCTTCGAAAAATCTCCTGAACATCGCGACGCATATCTGCAATTTCAATAAGAATATGAAAATACTTAATTTCAAGAAACAGCAAATTCCATACCTAGTACAAAATTAAAACCTTATGGTCTTATTCATAAGAAATTAAAATAGATTTAAAGAGCTCTATAAAATGACATTTTCATACAAATTCCGAGTTTATAAATTATAAAGCAGTTACAAGACTTCTTTATTTTTTATGAATTTGGGTTTTAGTGTTTAAAGCTTACCAAGTTGTTCCAACATTTTGTCACATTCGTCAAGAATAAAGTGTTTCAAGTGCTTTAGATTAAGTTTTTTGTTGCGTATCAAGGCTAGGATACGACCAGGTGTGCCAACAACAATGTGTGGCGTTGTACCCTTCAACGATTCTTCATCTTTCTGAATGGATAAGCCGCCAAAGAATACGCCAACCTTAAATATTCAAAAATTTATGCTTCTCGAATTCAACAAAATTTTAACAGAGTATATTAGTAACTACCTTCACAGCTGGCATATACTTGGAGAATCGTTCGTACTCCTTGCTAATTTGGAATGCTAATTCACGAGTATGACACATAACCAACACGTATACCACATTTTCCGTCGGTTCTAGCTGTTGTAAAGTTGCAAGCACAAAAACAGCAGTCTTACCCATACCCGACTTGGCTTGACAGAGAATATCCATTCCCAGCACTGCCTGTGGTATACACTCATGTTGCACTGTAATTAAATAAATACATAATATGTGTGAACGAAAAGTTTAGTTACCCATCATCAATCTCTAGAATGAACACAATTTTCAGATTTAAATTTGATAAATCGATCATTATATATCTGATGTCCCTATCAATAGTATCATCATTTAAACAGCGCACCGACAACTTCAGTTGATAATTACAAAAATATACAATTTACATTTTCTTACCCTCAGACGGATGCTCGAAACCGCAGTCAACTATTGCACGCAAAATTTCCGGCTTCAGCAGAAAATCACGAAAGCCCGAACTGTGAATTGACACGTATGTGCCTTTCACGTCTTTCTTTGGTGCTTCAGGGACTTCGGCGGCAGTGGTCTCGGTCTGCTCCTCATCCTCATAATCCAAAAGATCATCATTATCAGCCATTTTTTAATGGAAGTTGAGTATCGTTCTATTCGACCCGGAAAAAAATGCTAAGAAAAAGTTAGGTTATTCGGTTTTGCAAAACGCCACATGAGACGCCATTTTCTTTAAATTTTCAAGCTGGCAAAACAGCCGATATTTTGTTGGAAATTGCTTTCTCTTTGATAAACTTATTTTACTAATATAGTAGAGCATAATTATTACCGTCAAGAGATTTTCTTTAGTTGATAAGCAACAATCTTGCAACTTAATTTAATTTAATTGTACAATTCTTGCAGGAACGCGTCACACTTTTCTTTTGCTATTCCGAATTTTTTCGTTGAGTTTGCGAGCGTGCTGCCATATCGCTAAA